TATAGCTCCACTTCTGGGTATCACATGCTAGGCTGACATGCCTACCTTCAAAATCAAAACAAAGCCTACTTGGGAGATTTCCCTTTGAGGAAAGCAAGCCAATAGAAAAGCTCACCCTTACTGTGAGCCCTGGTCAAGACTCTCAGAAAATAAGACAGCAATAACAGAGCCTGAAGTAAGATGCCTGAATTAGGGGATTGGCAGCAGGACATCGACAGGAACAAATGGAGCTATGACTGAAAAGAAAAATGGTCAGCCCCTAAGTTGTTCAAAGGTATCACAATGGAATATGCAACATGTATCAGAGTGTATGGAGTTCAACACTTCTTTTAAATAATGTGTAACATCCTACATATGAGGCTATATGCTTTAATGAGTTGGGTAAATAATGGCAAATTTCCCCTCAATTTTATTATAGTTGACATGATTTTAATTCCCAGGATCTCCTGTATTTGCAAGATATATTGTAGAACACATATAATGTAGTAAAAAAAATCTGGAATCACATTTAGAAAATTTTCTCTTTGTTGTTACATTATAATCCTGTACTTGAGAAACACGAAATATCTAAAACTGCCTTTTCTTTTCCATTCAGTGATAAAGATAGCGCATAAGCCATATTGCTATTTTACCAGGAGGTGGCGATAAAGAGACATATCAGTAGTAATTTCAGCAACCCTATGCTTGGAAGCTACTATTGTTTTCCCCCTTAGCTGTTCTGGTGAATTCATTTGGAAGGAAAGTCTTTGCTAATAAGAAAGAATAAGGGAACCTTGGTTGTGTAAGACCCTCTCTGATGTTGAAGTGCTATTGCATTTCAAGTATTTTTTAATAGTTGAGGATATATGAGACTGAAGAAGGGAAAGGGAGAGTCAACATGTTCTTAGCACCTAGAGGAAGGGGAGAGAGTAAGAAAAGGACCAGGCTGAAGATGGATGGATAATGTTCTGTAAAGTCCAACTGAGAAGTGGAACTAGTATAACCACCACAGTTCAAAGCCAGTAAACTCATTAAAAAGGAAAGTTAAATGGAATTTACATAATTTGGAAAGAGCAATGTAGCCGTGATGATTGTAGGGACACATGGAAAGACTCATCAGGAAACCAAGAAGCAAGTGAAATAAATATAACTGGTTTTCCACTTAAAGTATAAGGAAGATGATGGGAACTACAGTGTTATAAATGGCCTTTGTGTGAGTAACTTAGGCAATTAGAAATTGCTAGCAAATAAGAATTGCTGTGGTTATGTTTTTGATTAAAAATTCATTATGAAAAGATATGCTTAAATTCTTGTCAACCATATTTGAAACTTAGACCTATTACCTTAAGTCATATTTAAGTAGTGGAAAAGGGGGTATTTTCTCTCAGACCTTGGCAGGCTCCTAGCCTGCCCCTTCCACAGGGTATACAGTATTCTTGTGAACAGTCATGAGATACCTACTTAAATGGCTTTTTCCTCTTTTCTGGAATGGTCTAGACATGAACAAAGAACACTAAGGATTAGAGGAAACTGTCTTCCATTGTCCTCACCCCTGAGGCTTGAACTCAGTCGCCTGGATAAATTATGGGCCTGACCAGAATACCCCTACATTCTTTTGGTGGTATTTTTGTTTATTTTGCAAAAGACCTTGCAAAAGCAATACCACACAATTTCTTTGTGTTGGTTTTTAGGTCAGTACCATTTTACTTCTCTACGGTTGTCCTATACTTTGAAATCAAAAAGTGTGATGTATCCAGATTTGTATTTGTTCTCATGATTGCTAGCTATTTGAGGTCATTTCTGATCGCCTGTGAATTTTAGGATCCACCAACCTCAATTTTTGGGTATAATTCCAGGGCATAATTGAAATCAAGAATTTTAAGAAGTATCTGCCCTCCCAAGTTTAACTCAGCATTCCTCATGATATCCAAGATATGTAAACAATTCAGATGATATTGATAGATGAATGAAGAAACTATGAGTTAAACATGCAAGGAATATTACTGAGCTTTTGTAAAGAGGAAACTATTGCTAGATGTGACAATATGTGGACATTGTACTGAGTAAAATAAGCCATACCCAGGAGGATAGATATTGCTTAATTCCCCTTATAAGCTAATATTTTAACTGATAGAAGCAGAGCCACATGGTGGCTAATAGGAAAAGGGGAGAGGGGTAAGGAAATTACAACAGGTAAAAGTTTCAGTTAGGCAATATGGATAAGTTCTAGAGATCCACTGTGCCACATAGCCTGTGGTTGGTAAGTATGTACTTGAAATATTTATTACAAAGGTAAGTATCAAGTGTACTTACCAGAGAGAAATGCATATTATCACACACACACAACACACATCCATGATCCAGAATTAACATTAGCCTTTTGCATATTTGTTCAAAATTTTAAAGTTTTATGAATAAAGCTGAAGTACTGGATATCGATATTTTTAATTTGTCAAAATACAAGTCATTATTTAAACATACTACAACACTCTCTTTCCAGTTAGCATTTTGTTTTTAAGATCAAACATACAGACATCTAGATATTGCTTTATTTCTTTTAATTACAGCCTAATTTGCTATTGCATGAGTGTGGCACATTTCATGTGTCTATGTATTCATTTCTCTTTAGATGGTAAATTGTATTGCTTCCAGTAGTCTCATTCCACATGATGGCACATATTTACTTGTGCTTATGGACAAGTGCTTTTCTGGAATTAATACCTAGGGGCAGAATTGCTGTGGTGTAAGATACATCTTCACATTCTGTGGATAATGTGCTGCCAAATATTTTTCTGCATGACTGTTCCAATGTTCATATCCTCTAACATTTGGCATGTAGAATATTGTTAACCTTTGTGCAATGGGTCTCCTGGTGTTTGTACCTCTCTATTTCTAGAGATTGAGCATTTATTCATAAATGTAGTAGTCACTAGAAATTCCTTTTTATGAATTGCTCCTGTTTACATCACTTACTTTTTATGACATTGATTGTCTTTTCTCATAGTGCTTGTAAAAGGTCTTTTATTCTGGACACAATTTCTTCTTGTACAATATCTTCTGTCAGTTTTTAAATTTTTTTATTGTAAAGATACTGTACAGAAGGGTTACAGTTACATGAGTAAGGTAATGAGTACATTCCCTATTGAGCATTGTTACCCCCTCCTTTGTCTTTCCCCTAGTATCTCTTTCCTCACCTCCCCAACACCTTTCTCGCCCCCCCAAGTTGTAAACTTTATTTTCAACATAATGTCTTGTACATCACATTGTTACAATGGTTCAACCTGTATCCTTGTTTCAGCATTTTTTTATTTCCCTTCCCCTCCCCAAATTAGAAAAAATTCAGAACACCAGAATCAAATACAGTGACAACAGAGGTCAGACCATGGGGGAAGAACATATAAAAAAATCACATAGTACATTAAAAAAATAGCAATAAACATAAAATCTCTTTGTCCCTATCTTCGGGTTTATTTCGCTTAACATCATCTTATATGGTCACATGTACATAGCTATTGACCTTTTCTGCTTCTCTGGTAGAATTATCCTAGATGTGCATGAGTTATTGCAAATAAGGGAAACCATGGGACCTATGTTTCTTTGGGCCTGGCTTACTTCACTTAATATAAGTTTTTCCAAGTCTTTCCATTTCCTAACAAATGGCTTGGTGTCACTTTTTCTGATGGAGGTATACAGTTCCATTGTGTGTTTGTGTGTGTGTGTGTGTGTGTGTGTGTGTGTATCACATTTTCTTGACCCATTCATCTACTAAGGGGCATCTGGTTTGGTTCCGTATCTTAGCTATGGTGAATAATGCTGTGAAAATTATTGTTGTGCTGGTAACTTTAGTATGGCCTTGTTTGTGATCATTTGGGTAAATTCCCAAAAGTGGGATTGCTGGGTCATAGGGGAGCTCTATGTGGAATCTTTTGCAGAACCTTCATACTGCTTTCCAAGCGGTTGAACAAGTTTACACTCCCACCAACAATGCAGTGGGCTTCCCTTCTGTCCACATCCCCTCTAGCATCTGTTGTTATTAGATTTCTTGATTATAGCCATTCTAACTGGGGTGAGGTGGAATCTCAATGTTGTTTTGATTTGCATTTCTTTTTATGTCTAGAGAAGTTGAGCATTTCTTCATGTGTCTCTTGGCCATTCTTATTTCCTCATCAGAGAAATCTAAGTCTTTAGCCCACGAATTAATTGGGCAGTTGTTTCTTTGAGGATTTGTTGTTGGGGGATTTAATTTTTTTAGTTCTAAGTATATTTTAGATATGAGGCCCTTGTCCATTGTATGGCTAGTGGAGATCTTCTCCCAGTCTCATGGGCTTTCTATTGATCTTGCTAGCTATGTCCTTTGCAATACACTTCTGCCAGTTTTTATACCAAATATTTCATGCCGGTTTTATGTACATATAAGTTTATAATTTTTGTTTCTGTTTAACGTTTTCTTGCTATGTTCTCACAAATTTTATAAAATGGTGTCTATTTTTTTCTCTTTATTCTTGTTTTAAATCCTTGATTTTGGAGACTTTGTGATTTCTTGGACTGTGCATGTGTGAGTGCATGTGTGTGTGTGACACACATTTCCTGTGACATTTCACTTGAGAATTTCTCACAAATTATCTAATCCTGAATGATGTCTTAGCAATAGACCACGGGATTGTGGCTTAGAAAGCAAAATGTCAACTTCCAAGAAGGTTCAGTCCTCTTTTCCACTCAGGATGAGGAAGCTTAGATGCAATATCTGTCACCATGCTGGCACAAGCCTGCCATGCCAGGTCTTCTGGAGCCCATGGCAGAGTTCTGGACAGTCCTAGGCACAGTCCCTGCAAGGCCTTCATTCTGCAGCCTCGGGGTTTCCACAGTACAAGTCACATACTACTTAGGAGCTTCCATCGAGTGATATTTCTGTTGAAGAATGGATTTACTTAGTATGCAGTTGATACAAGTTTAAATCATTCCAGTCCATAATACTCTATAGTATTTTATAGTATTTTTTTTCCTATTTTAGTTTTGAAGACTTTGTTGGCTTTGCATCCTACCCTGTCCACTCCCAGCTCCCTGGGACTTTATTAAGGCACAAAGAAAATATGGAAAGAGAGGTAAGAATCTACCATGGAATACATTAGTCTTGTCCTTCACCAAAGAGTTAGATTCATTTGAATGTGAAGATGCAACAGATATCTGTTCTGGGTTTTATGTATTTTGTAAAATGTGTTTTGTATGCAGTCCATCAAAATTATGTAGTTCATTGGGTGCTCAGGAAAGCTTGGATTTTTATTTAGTGAGTAATTTTATAATATTATGTGACTCTTGGTTTTCAATTTTTATATACACTATCAGATTAGTTACATAGTAGGAAAAGAATGATAAAACCATTATATTCTCCCTCCTCCTCACTTTTTCTACTTTTTCTCCTACTGATTTAGTAAAAGCTTGCCTTCCTTAATATAACCATCATAACCATTGTGTTAAATGTGCTTATACTTGCATTCTTAGGGCTGATTCAATGAATCTGTTTTTATTTTTCATATTCCAAATGAAAACCAATACCACTGACTTTTCTTTCCCATGCCAAAGTTACATAAGCAGCACCACTTCCGGTCAAGATATATAACATCAACATTGTGCTCATAACTCTTAATTCCCCACAATTCTGTGACTATTAGATTCATAATAAGATATTTTCATGGTTCTCTGCAAACCCATTCATTACAGTTACTCCATGGAATATTGTCTGGTTTCCTGTTGACTCATGGAAGCTTTCCTATTAGTGTATAAATAACGAAGGCCCATGTCTTGCAAATTGCATGATATTTGTTCCTAATGTTTCTTCTTGAAAGACACCTGAAAAAATATAAACATATTTCCTTAGATTTTTTTACCCTGAGTATTTGGTAGATGTTGTCTTGCAGAGACATCATATCTGGTTCTTAGCAGAACCAATGCTGTTCATTCTGATGCAGAGTCACTAAGCAGCTGAGAGTGGATCCAGAGTGCTCCAGAGAGGAGGCCTCCACAAGGAAGGAGGCCTGGCACTTGGGTACTGAATTCAAGATGTTGAAGCAAATAAATAATTAGGGGATACCTCAAGGTAGAGACCAAGAAAGTTTCTAGGTAAAACAAAACAAAGGCAGAGAGACACCACCTAGACATGGGTGGTGGCACATCCAATAACAGGCTCAAAGAGTGCTTTAATGTCACAGGTATTTATGGAAGAAAAGGAGGTTGGGGTTTGACTCAAATTCATCAAAGGATGAGGGCTCCCTTTTAACAGGATACCTGCAATACTTTGTCATTCTTGCTGTTATATTCTTATCAGTGAGGCCCAGACGTTCCAAGATTGGCCAGCTCACTAAACTTGGGTCATTATTGACATTAGGGTGTCACTTAAAAAAAGGATGGATTCTGCCACATAGTACCTTCAAGACAGGTGTCTATCCTGGAGATAAATATTTTTCTTTGCAAGCATTTTTTGTACCCCAAAATGTCATTTTCCTAGATCAAGTGTCTTTTTTTGGTGTGAGTTGGGGGGAGCGGGGTGCAGAAGGAGGTAGTGCCAGTTCTGGGGCTTGAACTCGGGGCCTGGTGGTACTGTCCTTGAGCTTTGTATACTCAAAGTTAGCCACTGGAACCACAGCTCCACTTCTGGCTTTTTTTGGTGGTTCATTGGAGTTAAGAGTCTACTGATTGGCTGGCTTTGAACCGTGGTGCTCACATCTCAGACTCCTGAGTAGCTAGGGTTAGAGACATGAGGCATGGACTCCTGTTAATGCATATATACTTTTAATCAAGCTATTCATTAATATAGTATCAGAAATATTTTTTATTTTCTCTCATTAACGTAAATTTTAATATAGTTCACAAGGTATTTTTATGTTAAGTGGAAAGTAATAATAATAATAAATTTTACCCAATATGTATAATGATGTGGGTCAATTATGTGTGAATTCATTAATTCCATACTAACAATATATTTTCCTTTGTAATTTTGAATTTTAATTGGAGAAATCACAGAATTATCTCATCAGTTATGATTTTAAAATAAAGACCTTAAATTTATGTTTTAAGGATAATAATTGTTAAATGTTGGTATTGCTACCTACTTGTAATAGATATGCTAATTTCTGAATTCTTTCTCTTTATCTGTCCCTTCTGTACAAAATAAACTCTGTGAGTTTTTCAGAAATACTATGAATGACTTTTTCTGTCTCTATGTCCATAGCACCCATGGGTTACCCCTCCTGTCCTCAAAGAGGTTGTAACAAATGGACATGAATAATTACTATTAGAGGCAAACATGATAGAAACAATAGAGAGAAAAAGATAGTCTTGGGGAAGAGGGAAAGTGATAGAGATAGAGAAGGATGTCTTAAAAAATAAAAAGAACTGAAGGACTTTTACAGATAGAAATGAATAAGATGGATGATGTTTGAGACAGTTGATAAAGAAAATAAACATCCAGAGGGAAGATGGTTCATAGATGGAATACCAGTTAAGCTAAGGCAGCCAGTGACTCCCTAAGGTACATGGCAAGCTGAGGTTCTCTAACACAATGCCTGATACATTTTGGAGGGGTTAATGATTGAATTTCTTTGTGTCGGGTAGTGAAGTAAGTAATCATCACAATCAAACTTGTTAGGCAAAAGGAAGGCACTGAGCCTGCCTCTGTGTTGGACTATATGAATGTGTTAGTGGGGTTTCTCCATAGAAGGCTATAAACCTACTGCCTTCCACTATCTAGAGAGAAAAATTAACTCTGGCATATGTTTAAGTATAGGGTGCAACACACTTAGGATTCCTCTGCAAGAGAAGTAACACGTTTTCCTCCACAGAAATCTGAAAGAAGCATAGGAAAGACAGATACTACCTGCCTAGTAATGTTTCCAGTATCTCTAGATATAGAATAAATCTTGGAAGACACTACTGCCTGGAAACAGTGATTCTACCTTGTAATTGCCTGTGCACAAACACATTCACACTTCTGGGAGCATCTGACTTAATGGTTAACTCTGTCTAAGTAAAAATTCTACCTGCACCTTTCACTACTTAAGTGACTGGGCAAACATTACTTCTCTATTGAAAAATGGTCACAATGACATGACTTGACTAACAGAATACCTACTTTGAGGAAGGCTGTGAAATAATACATATATAGAATCAGAACCACCTTATAAAGATGAGAATATTTGAATCCTCTTTCCAGGTAGATATTACTCCTTGCTCTGAGCACGTAAGTGGAGATGAAAGTAGATTTCAGTCTCTGCACTCCTTTATCTGAACATCCTTGTGCAGTGTACAACTTATACAACTGTACATATGTCCTGAGGACATCGTTTAGCATAATGGTTTTTATAACAAAAGCCACATCAATATTAGCCATCGTTAATTATTAAGCAGCAAACACGCCAAAACACAGAGCTGAATTTCTGTTGGAGACTGCATGATTGGGTCTGTTATAAAAAGATAAGAGTTGGGTTGGGAAGGTGGCTCAGTGGTAGAGCGCTTGCCTTGCATGCATGAGGCCCTGGGTTCGATTCCTCAGCACCACATAAGCAGAGAAAGCCGGAAGTGGGACTGTGGCTCAAGTGGTAGAGCGCTAGTTTACAGCTGAAGAACTGAGGGACAGCGCCCAGGCCCAGAGTTCAGGCCCCACGACCAACCAAAAAAAAAAAAAAAGATGGAGTCACACCTCAGCCTTAGAAAAGTGCAATACAGAATTGGAAAGTGAACCAGGTGCCCCTGCTGTTGTCTCTCCCCACACAGAGGGAACCGGCCCACAACTGAGGTTTACACTGGAACTTGTTTCCTTCTTTTAAATTTTATTGTATTATAAAGATGCTGCACAGAGGTCACAGTTACATAAGTAAGGTAATGACTACTTTCTTGTCGAGAATTTTACCCCCTCCTTTGTGTTTTTAATGTTTTCTATTTTTACAGTAACTCCAAAGCCAGATTACTTTCTGTCTCTTCCCAATGTTCCTTCATCTGGCTGTATGTAGAGGAGGGAGGGTGTATTGCACCTTAAATACAGCCCAGAAGAAATGATTCACCAGATAGTAGAAGACTGTAGGTCTGTGCATGGCTAGGGAGAAATTCCACTGATTTTCTGTGACTTTGAAAGCAGAAAACCACCAATAATAAAGTAAAGTATAACAACATATCTTTACTCCGTGGCCTCCTGAGGCATTGTTAGCATATGAGATAGGGCACAGGACATGATCTTTCAATGATGTAATTATTATTTTTAAATGTTATTCTTTATATACTTAGACTCCAGGTCTCAGGAAGGGAATCTGTTCAACCTTAGTTCTACGTATATTTTTTTCTTATCTCTACTCATCTTTTTTATGGGCCAAATCCTAAATAGTGAGATTCACTATACAATAGAAAGGCTATGTCTTTTGGTAGAGTTTGTAAACATAAAATGTTTAGGGGAACTTGTTACTGAAGAAATGATTTAGCAAATTTCTTCATAAAATGAGAATTTATTTTTCACATATAATAAAGAATATACCACATGTGTTTTGCATATTTTTTTCACTTTCTGTCACTCTGAAGTCTGACAAGTTGTGAGGGGTAACATGAGACTTCAAGGATGCTTTTGAAAAGATTGCTGCAAACCCTTTAAGGCCATATATCTTAAGTTTTTAGTAAAGTGAATGAACCTCAGAGAACTTTTTTTTTTTTTTACTGCTGCAAGCAGATACTCAAGGAGAAACATTGATGCTATTCCATACTCATTTGTGAACAGAAATTAATAAGGTGCTCACTAGTCTGGACCAAAGTCAACATTTAAGGATAAAGTATCTACAAAATCATGACAGGAGAAAAAGTTGAACCTGTGTATGACATCATTTTAACCTCAATTTTCCTGTAAGCACCCCCTTGTCTCCTGATATGGTTCTCAGGCCCAGGACCCTTGGGGGACAGGCTCATTCACAATGTTTTTGAATACTATGTACAAGGGAGGATATGTAAAGACAGGAGGTGGGAAAGGACATCAGGTCATGCTATAATCAAAATAATCATCAAAGACAAAAAGTGAGGGATGAGATGAAGGAAAGTCTGAACCGTCAACACAGAAATGGAGCCAAGAGAG